TTCGAGCTAGCCAGGCCTGTGTCGTCGGCGAATACACCTGGATCTCCCAGCTGTGGTGGCAATTTGTAGCGCGCGTAGGTATCTGAGAAGCGGGCCGAAAACGATGCAGAAGAGCGAGCCTGATGAGGGCCCCCTTGCTTGATCCCACGGCGAGCCCAATGCCCAGCAGTGCGGGCCCCACAGAAGTTAATGTTAACCCAGACCCGAGAGCATAGGAGACGCACGGCACGAATGATGTGCGCGGGAATTCTCGTCGCGTCCAGGGCCCGCCAGATCATCTCGCGAAGGAGGTTGGGGAAGGCGGCGCGCGCGTCGAAAAAAGGCGAAGCCCGTATATCGCAAGCCCATCTGGCAGTACTACTGCAGAGCCCAGGACTCGAGGGTGATGACATTCTCATTCATGTGACGGTTACGGACAAAACCTCGCCGCTCGGGGAATGCAGTTTCACAGCACGTGGCCGAAAACGAAATGTTGAGGGTCCTGGAGACCAATTTATTGTCGGTGTTCGATAGGGCGACTGGGCGGGTGACCCCAGGTTTCCTAGAGACAAAAAAAAACACCCAGGGTCCTGTCCTCGCCCTCGACTCCCTTGGCAAGGGAGATAGCGCGACAAAAGTTGAATTCGCTAAACATGTTGCCGCCGCGCAGCAACTCGAGGTAGAGAGCGTAAATGATCTTTAAAGCCTCTAGTTCCTGACCTGGTCCACCCTGGGTGCGGGATGCCGTCGGGGCCCGCGCCAGAGTCGCGGGTGTTCTTCACGCTTTCACAGAACTCCTCAAAGCAGATATCCAAAAAAATGTGGCCAGGCGCAGGAACAACGAACTGCCGGAGAGTTCCCCGAGCATCCTCCAATCCTTCCTCCAAGCTGTGCACGGACCCCCAGTGGTTCGCCAGAAGTTCAGCAGCGCGGTCAGGATCAGACACATGTTGCCCAGTGGGGTCGGTGACCCCCCCCCCCCCCCAGGGAAACGCGTCGATTGGACCCGCCCCAGGCCGAAAAGGTACTCAGACAATCGCTGCTTGGAGGAAGCCTTCCTACTAGGATGCATGTGCGGATCGCTGTCGATCTCCGCAATGATGGCTTTGCTGTTGTTTGCTGCCAGACAATCAAGCCACCTGTAAAAACCTGGCATGTCGGCCCAGCTGTAATCGGACCTGTCGATGAAACTCGAGAGGAACGGGTGTGCACGCAAAGCTCTGGCAATCCGAGACGGCGGCCCAGTCAGCATAGCTCTGTGAGCAGTGAGTGTCCACGATAACTGTTCGGGGATTGCGGGCGCTGTGCGAATCTCGACTTCGCGACGAACAGCGGCAGCGGCGGCGCGAACCACATCTTTGAATTCCAGTGCAGCTTGGGCTGGCTCGTCGGAAAGCGGGGGAACACTGGCCAAAATCGCGCCGATATGGCCAGGAAAGGACGGGCGCTTGCAAACCCAAGAAGCAATCCTCGGCGGCCCCGAGGAACGAAGCGGGGTCAGCGACATGCATACTGGCACGTGATCAGAAGGCCATTCCAGATCACAGACTGCTGCAAGCGTCAGGGAGTGGGCCCGCAGATCAATAAGCACCGCACTGTACGCTGTAGTGAATATTATGTCGAGCCTGGCGATCGACTTGACCGAGCGCGAATCTGCATTCGCGACCGTGCGTCTGCGCGCGCATGGCGGCTGCTCGACCTCGGCGCGGCGCGGGAAGAGACGGGTGAACAGCTTGGCGAGCGAGCAAGAGGGGAACGCGGCGTGCGAATTGGCGCGTGCACGACCTTCCCCCCCGGAGGAAAAATCGAAATCCACAAGAAGATAAGAAGCGCCGGGTGCAGGCTGAAAAGAACGCGCTTGGTATGCTGAAGCACTTGTTCCCGAGCAGGAAAGGGGGGCGGCGGGCCGATGCGCGCGCGCGCGCCAATGATCTGTAGCGCGCCGTGCAGACCGCGCAAAACAAGCTCATGCGCTCGACCCCTTCCGAAGAACCTGATGGGTGACGCCGGTGAAACGCCTCGCCAGCCTAGGGCGGGGCAGGATAACGCATCCGCCTTTGTTGCCGCAAGGGAAGAACGTGCCATAGCCTTGCCAACCCTCAATCTCTTTACGAAGGTAATGGAGGTCCTCGGGGGTCCCGTGAGACTCCTGGGGAGCGATGATGTCGTGTGTTGGAATAAGTTTTCGAAGCTGGGCGAACGCGTCGATCGTCGGCTGCGTCGGGGAAGACGAAGCGCCAAAGAGAGCTTGCACGTTCCAGGTAACGATGGAGAAGTGATCGGTGACAAGGAAGGGCAGGCCGCAGAAAACTTTGGCGAATACAGAAGGCGGCGAACAGGCGGCGGAGGAAGAAACATAACCAGAAGACGAGGCAGGCGAAGAGGAGGCCGAACAGGCGCTGTCACTGTCACTATCATTGCGGTCGATGACCAGACCACTCTCATCGACGCAGGTCGGACGCGGCGGCATGTAAGCACTCGGTTCCGACGGGGTGGCGTCCTATTCCATCTCTGTGGAAACCATCTCCGCGACGGCGTCCGAGTCGAGCCCGAACTTGGTGAGGTTGGCGGAATTGGGGTCGCACTCGAACTGGTCGCGATCCTTGGCGACCAGCGTGAAGAGGACGAAGATGCCGTTGTCCGTCTCGATGTAGAGCACTCCCTTGAAGCCGTTGGAGCCCATGGTGAACTTGTCGTGCCATGTGCCGTCGCTCTTGAGCGCCAGCATGACCGCCTGCCAGAGCCTCCCCAGGTACTTGTTCTTGGCGCGGATAGACATGGGGGCGCCGTAGCGCACCCTGAGCGTGATGGTGGTGTTGGTGGCAGTGTCCTGGGACTGGGGCGCAGCGTTCTTGAACTGTTCGACGAAGTGCTTGGCACCTGCCTCGCTGCTGAAGCGAATGCTGTAGCTCTGGTTGAGGTTGTAGCCGCGGATGGTGGTGCCTGCGCTGTGCTGACTCGGGATCAGGCCGAGCAACATACGCCCGTGCTGCTCCAAGGTGGCACCGAGCATCGGCGAGACGAAACCCGTGATCCAGACTTTCAGCTTGTCGCGGTGCTCGGCCTGAAGAGGGTCGTCGTGTCGTCCTGGGCCAGCAGGGATACCCGTGTCGATGTGGCGCTTCTTGGCTGAAGGAAAAGACGCGGTACTGCCAGCGCTGGATCCTGCGAGGGAGGAGCTGTTGATTTTGGCCTCAAGCTTGGCGAACTCTGCTGCAACCTGCGCGTCCAGGACCGCGCCCACCTGCTTGCTCTCCAAGACCTCCAGGCGGTTGTGCAACTCGATGAGCTTGGTGTTCGTGGACCTTACATGCTCTCTCAGCTGCGGCAGCTCGGACAGCGTCATATTGATGTCAATGAGCTGCTTCGAGAAGTTGACGTTCATCGCGTCGACCTTCCCGAGAATTGACTTGATGCCGTGTTCCATGGCAGCGGCAGCCGAGGCCATGGCGGAACACTGGAAGAGAGGAAGCCCTGCGGCACCCAGCTGGTGGCTGTGGGAGACAGCCCTGATAGCTGGTGCGGAGAAATCACTTGGAGGTCGCTCGAGCCGCCCCGTCGGCTGCGACCAAGTTGAAGACCCCAGGGCACGGTTTTCAACTTGAGCCAAAATGGCTGCGGAAGAAGAGGAGGAGGAGGAGGAGGAGGAGGAGGAGGAGAAAGAGGAGCAGGAGGAGGAGGAGGAGGAGGAGGAGGAGGAGGAGGAGGGGAAGGAGGAGGAGGAGGAGGACACTTACAACTGCTTTGAGCTTTGAAGACGAATGTGCGCGCCGCTCGGGCGAGGAGCCACCCTTCCACCTTTTGAAAACGGAAAACGGCGCCGCCCTCCACCCTTCAGCAGAAAGGGGGCACGAGGACACACACACACAGAAAAAAAAATGCAGACAAATCCCAGGAATCCATCTAATTTTCTGTGTTTTCGTCTTCCCCCCCCACTTCCCCTACTTTCCCATCGTTCCCTGGAAATCGACGATTACTTGTGTCCGTGTGTTTTTGTTTCCCCTCCGGATGCAGGATCCCGCAAATTCTGACAACGAATGTGCGCGGCGCTGAAGCAAGCAAGCAAGCAAGCAAGCAAGCAGACAAGCAAGAACTGGCCATCGCTCGGACGTTCATTCCCTGTGTTTTTTTTGTTTCGTGCGTGTTTTTTTTCGCCAAATGATCAAGGATGTTCCTAGATGTTCCTCGCCGAAGGAAAAATGCACACGTCCGAGCGATGCCAAGAGCAAGCAAGCAAGAAACCACGCGCCCAGACGGCGCATAGGCAAGACACAGCAGCTACGCGGCTGTCAAACAGATACGTCCAGGCGCGGCCGCGTCGCAAGACTCGCTGACGACGCACAGGCGCTCCTGTGAGAGATCCTCCGCCTCGCTCTGTGGACTGGCCGGGTCTTCTCCCGATTAGGGAGCGCTTTTTTGTTGTTCGGCCTTTCGGCATTGGGCGGAAGGGGAGGGGGGTCTGGCTCTGGACCTCTGCTTAGTGTGACTGTTTGCAGCAGTGCGTCCTACGGGGGAGGCTCCGCCTGATTGAAACAGGCGCCAGAAGCAGCCAAGATCTACTCCATTGGGGGGGGGAAGGGGGGATGCGAGGGCCCACGCCGATCGGCAAAACGATGAATGAAAAACGATCACTTAAAGATATTGCATCATTGGATACTCGTGCCGTCTGTTCCCCTCCTGGGTCCAAGGGGAGCCCGCTCGGATCAGAAAACGTAACTTTGGGGAAACCACAAACGTACCATACCGCTACTCCCCGGATCTCTCCCAGGCTGCGTTCTGACCATGATTCCGAGGGGAATCGAGCGGTGGCGACGAGGAACGCCCAGGAGGCAAGAAAGGGGAAAACGAGCGAAGGGTAGAGGTACGGGTACCTTTTCCTCCTCTGACGCTTTGACCAGAAAGCGCAACCCCAGACCCCCGACGTCGTGATTTTTGCCATGACGTCGACCCTCAGAAGTCTGGACCCCTGAATCGTTTTGTTGACGGTTCCGAGGCCCGGTAAGGCCCCCAGGGGCCGAAAATACAGAGAAAACTACCGTCGCGACTTTTTCTCAACGCAAAGGGGTCTGGGACTTCGCCCGATAATTTCCCTCAATTCTTCCCCGCTTGTGCAGCTAACGTGCGCGGCCGGCGGCAGCGGGGCGCGCGGGCTGCACACCCCAGCTGGCGGCGGCGGAGGGCAGGGACGCAGGGACCGAGAATGCAGTCACGGCGTATGCTTGAGAGGCGCAAGGGCAGGAGGAGGAGGAGGAGGTTCGAGGGGGACTCCCCCGAACCTCCTCCTCCTCCTCCTCCTCCGCCTCCGCCTCCTCCTCCTCCTCCTCCTCCGCCTCCTCCTCCTCCTCCTCGGCGATCCAGGCACCCCCCGGAGCGCCCCCGGCGAGGGCCGTGGAAGGCCGTGCCGCCACGTTTCGAGCGGGGCAGGAAAGGTGGCCAAAGATGGGTAGCCTCAGAAAGTCGCCCATCCTTACTATGCGCCCTGACTGTACGCGAACAGCGCTCGTGTACTGCGCCGTGCTTGGACTCCCATTCACGCCCAGCTGCAGCGAGGCACGGTGCATGGTCTCCTTCGCAGCGCCGAGCAGACATGTGTGCTCTGTACCATTCCTGGGACATGGATCGACGACGCTTCGGAAGATGCCAACGCTGTACGGTGCAGACACGTCGATCGTGGAAGAAAGGGCGAGGTATGGAGAGATGAGGCAGAACTGAAGAGCAAGACGAGACGGGACATGAGGGCGAGGACAAGCATCTCTTCCATCGACTCCTCCTTACCATCCTCCCCTTCTTGCCATGCAGCATCCCCCTGGCGTTCCTTCCCCTCCTGTGCCTCCTCCCCCCCGCTTCTCGTGGTCCAAAAGTCAACCCGTATGATCAGGCTGCACGATAAGGATGCCAGGGCCTTCAAAGGCCATGCCGACCCTTTGCAAGCGGGGCGCGGCCAACGAAAACGGCCAAGGATGGGCCAGAGGGGAAGGATGCAAGGGTAACCTTAGAAAACTGTTCGCCCTTACCACGCGGGCTGACTGTACTCCTGTCAACCCTGCTCCGTCTCCCCCTCCTCCTCCTCCTCCTCCTCCTCCTCTTCCTCCTCCTCCTCCTACTCCTCCTCCTCCTCCTCCTCCTCCTCCTCCTCCTCCTCCTGCTCCTGCTCCTCTTCCTCCTCCTCCTCCTTCTCCTCCTCCTCCTCCCTCCTCCCTCCTCCTCCTCCTCGTCGTCGTCCTCCTCCTCCTCAAACCTCGAGCTGCAGGACCTCCCTCGAACCCAGAAGAGCACCGACCCTGAGGCTCGAGGGTCGGAACTCTCACGCGTTCGAGGGAGACCCGGGAGGCTCGAGGTTTGAGGAGGAGAAGGAGGAGGAGGGGGCAGGGAGAGGAAGATCCCGACCACATCGGGCCGTTCACGAACCACTCGGGACGGATGACAGCCGCTGGAACTGGGCTGATCCCAGCGTGCAGGATTCCTAAGAAGTAGCCCGAAATCGAACAGCACGATTACGGTCGGCCAGTATCATCAGGGTGCGCGGTTAGGATGCAAGGGCCTTGGGCCTTGGGCGCCCAGTTCGAATCTTTCCGAGCGGAGCGCGGCCAACGAAAATGGCCAAGGAAGGACCGAGGAGGCAAGGATGCAAGTGTACCCTTGGGAAGGTTGCCGTTCTTTGCTATGCGGGCTGACTGTGCAGCCAGAAAAGCTCCCCAAAAGCTTCTGAGGAGCTGCCCGAAAGCCCCTGAGCTCCCCTCCCAGACATCCGGCTGCTCCAATTCTTTCGATGCGTGGGCCCTGGAGGTCCAGACCACATTCCCTAGGGCCGTTTTTTCGCCCGGCGTCGATTTGTCACGCTCCCGAAGCCCTGCGAGGGCACCCGGAGGTCGAAAGCGGCGAAAAACTGCCCGCTCCAATTCGTTTGGAGCGTCGGATCTATGGGCAGAAGCCGTCTGAGGAGCTCCCCAGGAGCTTCTGAGGAGCTCCCCAAGAGCTTCTGAGGAGCTCCCCGGAAATCTTCTCGGCAGCTTCCCTGGAGCTTCTGCGGAGCACCCGCGGAAGCCTTCTCGGGAGCTTCTGGGGAACTTCCCCGGAGCTTCTGGGTGGCTCGGAACTTCCCCGGAGAAGCCTCTGGGGGGCCTCCGAAAAGCCTCTGGGAAGCATCGGAAAAACCTTTGGGGGGCCTCCTAGAAGCCTTGGGGAAGCCTTCGAGAACCCTCGGGGAAGCCTCCGAGAAGCTTCCGAGGTTACCGAGAAGCAGACGAGTCTTCCCAGAGGCTCCTCTGAAACTTCCACGAAGCTTGTGGGAGGCCTCCCGAGAAGTGAGAAGCTTTTAAGACGCGTGCGGGAAGCCTTTCGGAAACCTCCGGGAAGCCTTTGGGAAGCCTCAGTGCTTCTCAGTACTCTTTGGCAGACGCGGGTCTTCTTGCGCATCCTTCTGCAGAATGTGTTCTCGGGTGCTCCTGGAGTGCTCTTGGATATCCCGTCGTATGCTTGGGCTTCCTTGTGTGTCACCTTGCATCCTTGGGTGTTCTTGGACATCTTTGCGTTTGAGCGGGTGTTGTCGGGAACTGCTGGGTGCTCTTGGATCTCCTTCGGTCTCCCTGGAGGAGGGGGGCACGAGGAGGCAGGAGGATGCAGGACGAGATAGGAGGATGCAGGACGGGATGGGGAGGAGGAGCAGGAGGACGATGAGGAGGCGGCGTAGGAGGAGGAGAAGGAGGAGGAGGAGGAGGAGGAGGAGGACGACGACGAGGGAGGAGAACGAAGAGCAGGAGGAAGAGGACGACGAGGGAGGAGGAACGAGGGAGGAGAACAAGGAGGAGGAACAAGGGAGGGGGATCGCCGGGAGCGCAAGGCATCCGCACCGTAGATGCAGTCTGTTCGCACGGGTGCCAGCAGCTGCGGGGGGCAGAATGCATTACCTCGCGCAGCGCACCGCGGCACACAGCACGCGACGCGCACGGGCCGCAAGAGGCGACGCAACGAACCGCCCGCGACCGGCCCGACCGCAACCGCTCCTTCGAAACCACCCTGGGGGCCGAAAATGGAACTCACTGCATCCAAGAAAACGCTCTTGCGGGACCTCTCTTCATCAGGACAATATCGCAAGTGCGCCAACACATCGCAACGATTTTGGCCTGATCCCAACCACTTGGGATTGGTCCGAAGCGGTCGACGGTCGGCCAAAAGCGGCCGCGATCGCCCCCGACCGCAGGGAGCATGACAATGAGGTTCGAGGGGAAGTCCCCCTCGAACCTCCTCCTCCTCCTCCTCCTCCTCCTCCTCCTCCTCCTCCTCCTCCTCCTCATGCTCTTCCTCCTCCTCCTCCTCCTCCTCCTCCTCCTCCTCCTCCTCCTCCTCCTCCCCCTCCTCCTACCATCTCCTTTTCCTCCCCCCCTCCTCCTCCTCCTCCTCCTCCTCCTCCTCCTCCTTTTCCTCCTCCCCCTCCTGCTCCTCCTCCTA